ATTATGCTAATTTGAGAAGTGGCCTCTGGAGGCTTAGTGAAAGACTAGCCTGGCCTGAGGGTGCTGGGTGCCCCTCCACACTCATTCACAGTTGGAACACCAGGACTTTTTTTTTTTTTTTAAGTAGTTTTACTTCTCCTGGATTGAGGTTACCAGGTCTCCTGCGCTCTCTCCCTCTGACTCCCTCCTTAGTCTCCCACTTTTCGCTTCTGTCTTCCACAACCTCTCTGTCCTTTCCCCTCAAATTTCTAGGCCCAGTCTCTAACAGGAGAGGGGGTAAAGCGGTGGGTGACGATTTTAAAAACCCAGAACGTCTTGCAGGGGGTGTGGGTTTGAGGAGAGAGTACAAAAGAAGGACCCTGAAGTTTAGTTTGAACTCCAGACAGTAAGAACTTCACAGAGAAGTTTCTGTTAGGATTCTCACCTCCAGATAGGCAGAAGAGCTAAGAGGTGATAAGGACATTTGTACTTCTGAGAAGATGAAAACTAGCAGGGCTTCATTTTAAATGTGCATGTAGAAGAGATGGAAGATGGTTTTTGTTATTATTCTGAGCAAACCTGTTTGTTTCTCTCCTCTCTCAGCTGTGCAAGATTTACGACTCTTGGCACAAGTGAGGAAGGCTACAAAAGCTAAAGTTTTCTTAGGGCGTGTTTGAGCAGGCCAGGAAAAGGCAAGGGGGGAGGCCTGTAGGAGGAAGACAGGAGCCAAAAATGTAGGTGTCTGCAGATTTGAGGCGGGGGTGGGGATGAACCATTCCCAGCCAAGGAAAAAGACAGAAAGCACTAGGACATTTCCCCAAGCAGGAGTATTTGCAACTCTATTTAACTGCTGACTCGGGAGTTCGGGGATAAAATAGAGGGCAGGCAGTCTCTTCTACAAAGGCAGCCTGGAAAGCGGGTTCTCTTAACTTCGTGTAGACAGAGCCTGCCACCATCCTGTGATTTCCTGGTTAAATACTTTTCTTTTGCCTTCTCTCATCTGGATGCACCAGGACAGGCGATGAGACTGGGAAAAACAAAGGTGAGAGATGACTTCCAGCTATTGTCTCCCCTCCAGGAGAGGGTAGCTATATCTGACTCTGCCAATGCTTCCCTCATACCCTCTTACTCCCCACTCACAAGCTCTG